GTAACGGGCGAACAAGGAGAGACACACGGGTGACGCAGCCCCCTTACCACTTCATTCAAGTCAGGGAGTAAGACACGGTACATCCATGCACAGAAGAGTGACTCCCTTCTCTCCGTGAGTCCGTTGCCCGCCCTCCCGGCCCCGGGAGGTGTCAACTCTAGGCTTTCAGGACGGGACAGGATGGAAGGGCCGTGAGGGGCAAATATCAGTGAGACACTGTTTGCGGCATCGGGCTGTGTCCGCGGGTAACGGAGGGAATGCCATCATTTCCAGAAGAAGCTGGAGCGGGCGCCGGGGCCCCGCCCGAGGTTGCGGGAGGATCAGGGGGTCTGCAACACCCCCTGTCTGGTTCCCCTGCGTCAGAGCTGGAGGGAGCCCGAGGAGGGAAGCCAGGGTCGTGCTGGGCACGGGTTCCCGATCCTGTCGGGCCGCCTGTGGGTCTCCGGAACCCCCGCACCACCGCCTGGATTCTCGGATTGGCCGCTCATCAGAGGCGCTAGGACGCCTTCCCCTCGCCCTACGGCCCGAGCAGCAGCCGGGACCTGACTTGGGGAGGAGAGGTCAGGGCCTGTGTGTGCGCGCTCCTGGGCTCGGCCCCATTCACCACCCTAGGGCCTCGCTGCTTGCGGGGATCTCAGCTTTCCCCCTGGGGCCAGGCTCTCTGATCTCACCACCCCCACATCCACACCTAAGAAATCCTTCCCTGGTATTTGGGGCGGACTATTTGAGATGTTGACGAGCGGGTGTGTATTAGATACTGCCGGGAGGAGCCGCTCTCTGTGTCCCCAGGAGCTAAAGGCCTCCAAGTGTTGGTAAAGGGCATGGTATGCCCGGAAGAACTGAACTGAAGCAGGAAAAACTCAAGTTAGACATCTCTGGCGGAGTGCTTCCTATAGGCGTTTCCAGGCCTGGATTCTTGAAGCAGAAGACCCGGCTCTTCTCTGAAGTGACGACTGGCAGCCGTCATCATCATTATTGCCATCAAATGTATTCTGTGCTCCCATGTGCACGATCATGGTCTAAGTATGATTTGAGACAAAGTTTTAGACCTGGTTATAAGCTCCTAATTAGACTGGCAGTTTCCACTCATGTCCTCAGCCCCCGCCCCCTCATACACACAGTCTTGTTAGTGTCTTTTAGACTTAAATCAATAACCCATCTCCTGACTCTCCATTCCCCTCCTTCAAAACCTTATTCCATGCCCCACCCATAAATTCTTCCAAGGCTAGCCCCCATTAGCCCCAATCTCTCCAGCCCTCTAGCACATATTTGCAAACTCCAACCAACTTCCAGAAGAAATTGATACCCAGAGGAAAGGGGGCTTGCTAATGATGTCTGCCAGTGACTGCTCTTACTGTAAAGGCCACCGGAGGCAGCCTGGTGTGGTAGAAGCCACAGCGCTTTGGAGCCATACGGATCTGGAATCCTGGCTCTGCCTTTCATGCACTGTGACCTCTCTTGTTTCTTCACCTTAATAATACCAATGCCACAGGGTTGATGGGATGGCCAAATTGATGGGGGCAAAAGCACAACATTTGATTTTGTTAGCTTCCTCCCGCCCTTTAAAAAAGATAAGCAAATTTGATAACCAGGGATTATGAGCCTTAGGGATGGAAGAAACCTTAGAAAAAACCCTTCAAGCAATAACCCAGGAAGTGGCCACGCTGCTCACCCTCCTTCAACACATCCAGAGAAGGAGGACTCAGTACCTCCAAAGGGGTTTACAGCTGCAGGAAAAAGCCATGGAGGAAAGCCACAGATGATACGTAATCATTCAACATAAGGAGGCTTGCAGTCTGTGAGGCAGACACATACTACTAGGTCCACAGGACAAAACTCAAATAAATACCTGACAAGGAGGCAAGATTTAGGGCAGGAACTCCCCAAAGCATGTTGTCACTGTTCACTGCACCAGGCTTCTGAGGAATGTCAGTGAGTTTGTGGCCTGGAGATTCTGGAAGTGCTGAGGAAAAAGTAGGGTGACTATATCCAGGTTGTCGGGAACATCCCATTTACTACTCCTGACATAGTTATTAATAGTCCCCCATTCACTCTCAAAATATCTTAGTTTGGACAATAAATTTTATATAGGTCACATTAACTATGAACAAAGGGAGTATTCCAAACAGCTCCTATCAGCCCTGCATATCAGCAATTCTGCTGGAATTTCTGCATCCCCAGAGACTTCAAAAGATAGTATGTCAGTTTATCCCCCTTGAAATCACCAAATCCAATCAAAAATGACAAACAAGCAAAAATTAAGTTTCCAGCCAGCCACCCCAAGTCAAGGGACAGACAGAGCTTGCTGAATTGTGACACCTAGTGGGGAGAATTCACACTGTTGGAGGCTTTTTCCGACACTGCATTTAGCCAGTTTTCTTTTTCACTTGTAGCTTGTAAAACACAGAACAGCAGTTAACATTTTCCAAATGCTTATGTGCCAGGCACAGGTCTAAGTACTTTACATGTTCTAATTCATTTGACCCTCACAAGAACTCCATGAGGTAGCTACTATCATCAGCCCTCTATTTTAAAAGATGAGGAAATTGAGGATAAAAAAAATTAGGTAAGCCCTATTGGCTTGGCTCAGTAGTTGAGCGTAGACCTATGAACCATGAGGTCACTGTTTGATTCCCAGTCCAGGCACATGCCTGGGTTGCGGACTCGATCTCCAGTGACGGGCGTACAGAAGGCAGCCGATCAATGATTCTCTCTCATCATTGATGTTTCTCTCTCTCCCTCTCCCTTCCTCTCTGAAATCAATGGGGGAGGGGGGGAGTTAAAAATAAGTTAAGTAATTTCCCCCAGGTCATTTAGCCAGTAAATGACTGCCAGGGTTTAACCCCAGGTTGTCTGGTTGCAGATCCTGGCACTTAACTGCTACTCTATCCAGCTTCTATCAGTTGCATGTGCAAAGTTACTTCAGTGGTCTCTTCATATCTTCGATCAACTCTCCTACATGAGATGACAAAAAGGGGGAGTGAGAACAGAGTGTACTGGGACAGCGGTTGCCAACCTTTTGGCCCTCACAGACCACCAGTGGTCCGCGGACCATCCATTAGTGACCGCTGTACTAGAAGGTCAGCATCCACATCTACCAGTAATGAGTGGTCAAATCTACCCAGGATTAAAATCAGGGCATTAAACCAGACAATGAGAAGACATACAGTGTCAGTTAAGTGCACAGTGGAGCTGCTAGTTTAAAGAAGGAGAGTGAAAAATGAAATGGTTCCTTGCCCTGGCCAGTGTGGCTCAGTTGATTGGGCATCGTCCTGTACTCTGAAAGGTTGCTGGTTTAATTCCCCATCAGGGCTTATGCCCCAGTTGTGAGCTCAATCCCTGGTAGGGGGCATACAGGAGGCAACTGGTTTCTCTCTCCCTCTCCCTTCCACTCTCTCTAAAAATCAATTCTTTAAAAAAAAGAATGAAGCAGTTCCTTCCTTACATCAGCCTCTTCAACAACATTTGTTTGTGCAAACTGAACAGTGGTTGCTGGTCACTTGCTGGGAGCTAATTCCAGCAGGTCATAAATGCAAGAAGTTCATCAAAAGGTTGGTAACCTTGAGGCTTCAGCAGGGCTAAGACACATATTATTGCCTGCTGAGGGCATTTCCCCAAACCTGAAAATCTACATGTTATTACCCGCTGCTGGCCAACAGCTGAACAGCCAAAGGCAGTTCCCCCAACCTGATACTTCACTGCTTACCAAACTTTACCTTTGATATGTGTGTTTGCTTTGCTTTAGGGCAAAAATGTGTGAATAAAAAGCCCTGGGTCCAGAGATTCAGAGAGAACTTGGTCACTAGAACTAAGCCTTCCCTGGCTCCCCCATGTATTCCAAATTTATATTTCATGTCTAGTCTCTTTATTAATTTACTCGCAGCCCTTTCTCCAGATTCCTGAACCCTTCTAGATGCAGGATAACACCCCGGCAGTCACTGAAGCCTATCAGCTGCACCAAGAGGACCCACACCAAGACCTCCCACCGTTGTCAGAGTGAGGCAGGCAGAAGTGACCAAGACTGTTCTGCTTCTTTCTAGGCTCCCTCTTCTAAAGACTACAGATCATCCCAAGGACCCCTCCCCTCCTTCCTTCAACTTCTTCTCTCCC